CGATGGAGAAAAAAACTGTCAAGGGTCTTCCGAAACATCTTCCAAATCGGAGACGACTGTACGGACACGGAATCGTGATCAGATAACTGAAAACCAGCATTTTGCTTATCTTGATCCTCATCTGTACCGCTGTCAATTTAATCAAACCACTTCAGTACTACAACTTCATAATCCTTATCGCTAAACTTAACTGCCTTTGAAGTTGAAGGTGAAAAGTCAATATTTATTTCAAGTCCTAAAAGAGTTACACTTACGGTGACGTGGAGTCTAGGAGACTCCGCTTCAACTTTGAACACAGTTATCTTTATATATACAATTCGGAAACAACTGATATTGTAGAGAGTGTTAATAACTTTATTACAATCAATGTAAAAAAATACATCTAATACAACACCCCCATGGGGAATGTCATTATGGGTGTTCGGCAGTAAGGGCACCTAGTACTAGGCGAATCGTCCTCCTCATCCCTACGTTTTCGAAAATGTGCAGCACAAACTCGGCAAATGCAGTAATGTCTACATTTTCTTAGGATAAACCTTCTACGCTTTGGAAGGCATACCTCACACTGCCATTTGCGAATCTCTTCAGCTTTAGCTTCAACAGCATCCTCAGACTGTTTGCCTCATATAAAAAATATGTAAACAATAAACATAACCTTGTGAGCCAATAAATATGATGTAATTTTATAAGTAATTATCCAAAACATTTCATAAGTATCAATTATTGAAATAATAAGGGCAACGTGAAATTTTTGGGCAGTTAAAAAATTAAAAATGATAGTCCCTTTTGAAGAAATTTGTGTTTCAATTAAGAACATTTATTATTATTTTAAATAAAAACAACCCAATTTAGCATCAATGATTTTCGAACTAGTCCAAGGGCAACCCAAATATTGAAACAATTCATTTAAGTTTATTTAAATAACCATAACCATTAGGAAGCTCATCCTCTTTATCTGCTCTTAGGAATAGGTAGTTAGGTAACTATAACTTCAAAGCAATTGACGGCCGCCATTTTCCCTCCGTTAACAAATTAGCGCCCGACAATTTGATTGACGTTCTGTAACCTAAATATGTCTGTCAACCTAATTTTGTGATTTTTAATAGGGGCATATCGATTTTGAAAATTGTAACAGTATATATTGTATTTTTGTGTGGATTGTTATATAAACTAAATTGTGACGTACGGGTGACACGATTCATACAGTGTTGGGTGTGTATTAAAAATAAGTTGCTTAATCGGCAGTGGCAACGTAATTATTAATAAGCTCTTCTTTACTATATGAAAGATATTTAAGAATTCTAGAATAGTAATAATAATTGTGTTAAACTTACCATCAACAACAGCGGCTTTCAGTTCCTGTGGAATTACAGGGTTTCCCACAGCTCCAAAAAAATTGTAGTATTTCTTTGGGTTAAACTCACCATCGATTCCAGTTCTTGTAGTATTACTCGGTTCCCTACAGGTCCATATTAATTTTTTAGAACATCTGCAAAAGAAAAAGAACCAAAAATTAATGTGACATGTAGACAAACAACAATAAAAATGAAAAAGTGAGGTTTGTATTTCTTTGGGTTAATTAAACTCACCATCGACAACAGCGGCTTCCGGTTCTTGTGGAATTACTCGGTTTCCTCCGGGTCCATATAAATTGTCCGGACATTTACACAAAAAACAATATAAATAAAAAAGTGAGGTTTGTATGTTCAACTTACCATCAACAACAGCGTCTTCCTCTTCCTGTCGCATCATATGGTTCCCCTCAGGTCCATTGCCCTGGACATCTAAAATTAAATTAAATTAAATGAAACGTGACAAAAGTGATGTTTGTATTTATCACCTTCGACAACAGCAGCTTCCTGTCGAATTATAGGGCTGCCCACAACCTCAAAAATATCCTCATCGTCTTCATCTGTAGAGTTGTCATCTAGCAATACTACAAAATAAAAATATACCAGAATATTTTGTACCATCAATTGATTTAAAAATATATTGAATTAAATAAGTTTAATTATTGAGACAGTTTTGCGAAACCATGGTGTTTGCCATATTCTATAATGTTTCCTTGACGATGGGCAGGTGCAGCGTCAACTTCAGGAAAGACGACCTCATCTAACAAACGGTGAAAGCCGCCCTCCGGATCAATTTATAAAATTAATTTTTTATTAATCACTTATTTCATAGTTATGTAAATATATACCTTCCTGGTAAACGTAAAGGCCGAAGAAATCTTTCCAGGTTATCAACTCATGCGCTGCAAACCTTAAGGATGATAGAAGGTTTCCCCGTTCCTCCAGCATATCCTGGGCCCTGGCTATTCGTTGGCCTTCTAGGCAATACCACCCCATTTTCTAAGCGTATAAACTGAATGGCCTTGCTATTTTCTGCCTTCCGAAGAAAATTTATAAAGTACCCACAATTTGGGTGTTGTCTTCCCAATATACGAAAAAGATCGCGGTGGAAACATTCCACCAAATTGTTGGTCCTTCTGTCCTTCCTCCAAAGAGAAACCTTGTGAAGCCAATATGTTCTGCTTTTTAAGCCATAGAAACCCTAGTTCGTTTTTTCTTTAAATTGTTTTACAGTTTATTGGGTCTCCAATAGGCTATTGAGCTAGATCTTTTACAATATATAAATAGTTTGGTGACAAAGTTCATGAAAAAAAAATCCAAAAAAAGAAGATGTAGATTCTACCTACAATTCTATATATAAAATTTAATAATAATAATAATAATTTATTTATTGCCCAACAGTTTAAACCATTACAGGACATTAAAATAGGATACATGCGTACTATATAGTATTCAAATTATAAAAAAATATATAGATAAACCTAAACAACATATTATGTGTGCAACATTTAAAGATGCTAATTAACATATTTAATTATATGGCTAAGCGTATTAAAGTTTATGTCACAAGATTCACAGAATTTATTAAAGTTACTGCACATCACAAATAAGGGCGACTTAAGTCCCAAATTAGTTCTATTGAAGCTTAGAAGAAAAGTAATTTTATTTCTGCTAGTCAATCTTGGCACCGAAAAGTTAATCTGAGAAAGCAAATCACTACAACTAATTTGAGAATTAAGCAACCTAAACAAAAATGAAATTGATGCAATAACCCTTCTCTTTTCTAGAGATTTAAATTCAAATGTCGATAGTAGCAAATCATGGTCAAATCCCTGAGTTGGATATTCATTATATATTCTAAGATGTAAGAGCTTTAAAAATTTGCGTTGTACAGTTTCAATGCTTGTTATATGGACTAGATAGATTGGATACCAGATTATGGAAGCATATTCCAACTTTGACCTTATTAATGCAAAATACAGCATTTTTAATGAGCTTTCATTTATAATATGCTTGGTATTTCTAATGAGAAAACCCAACATTCTAAAAGATGAGTTTACTACCGCGTTGATATGATTTATAAAATTCAGCTTCGTATCAAACCTAACTCCCAGATCCTTAAATTCTGTAATTTGTTCTAAACGCCTATTGTTGATTTCATAATTATACAATATACTATGCTTTTTCTTTGTATATATCATACTCTTGCATTTATTGATATTTAAATGAAGGTTATTTATGATACACCAATTATATAGATTATTTAAATTATTTTGCAGTTTAATGCAATCATCAACAGTTTTGATTTCTAAGTAGAGTTTCAGATCATCAGCAAATAGTAAATTGTAAGCTGTTAAAATGTCTGGTAGGTCGTTGATGAAGATAAGAAAAAGTAGTGGTCCTAGATTGGATCCTTGTGGTACACCTGATGTTGGAGTAAACGGTTTAGAACAAAACTCATTGTAAGAAACACATAGCTTTCTATCTGTTAAATAGGAAATGAAGAAAAATATTAAATGGTCAGAAAATCCGATTTTTTTAAATTTAATCTTAAGTCTATTATGATCTATTTGGTCAAAGGCTTTCTGGAAATCCGTATAAATTACATCCACTTGTCCATGATTATCAAGCACATTACTGGCAAACTGTGTAAACAATGTTAAATTGGTGACCGTTGACCGTTTTTCAACAAAACCATGTTGTTGATTTGATATTATATGACTTAACTGGAAGTATATTTTTCTATAAATAATACTCTCGAACAATTTTGCAAAATTACAAAGTATAGCAATTGGCCTATAGTTTTCAACGTTAGAAGAATCACCGGATTTCAAGACCGGAACAATTTTTGAAGTTTTCCAAATTTTGGGAAATTTACCGGTACGTAAAATTAGGTTAAATAGATACAGTAACGGTTTCAATAGTCCAACGCTGCAATCCTTAGCAATGAAGCTTGGAATATAATCAACTCCGCAAGTAAACTTGTTGCTTAGTTTTTTTACTGCATTTAAAATTTCAGTTTCAGTTATTGGATCCACTTTAATATTATTTATGGAACAAAACTGTTCGTCAGTATTATTTAAATTCGGTAATTGATATACACTTGAAAAGTAGGTAGCAAATATATTCACAATATCATCAGGATTGGTGGTTGAGTTTCCATTATAATGCATACTATTAGGTATTCTAAGTTAAATATATAAAAATTAAGTTATGTCAAGACAAGAATTGAATGACGTTTAATATTAATTTTTGAGATCCTGTAACTGTTTCCAGACTGCAAGTGTTTTATTTTTTTGTTTTTAACTACCTAGTGTAGGGTACTGAACTTCGCCTTTTGTTTGTAATAAGTTTTTTACAATCATTAAAGACATTATTATTATTATTATTATTTTTAGCTCTAGTTTTAAAATTTATGTTGTCTAGTCTTTATATCATATATTTTTAAAATATTAATGTATTACATAGGCAGAAAGGCCTTTTGGTTTTCCAATAAATTTACTACTAATAAAAAAAGGACCTTGTTCAATGGCCAATTTTAAGACTTCTTTTTGCAATAAAGCTTATTATTACTATTAAAAAATAAAATAATTTTGAACTAATTTTACCATTCTTCTTTTCTTTACTAGATCCATATACATCCCCACCTAAAACTCCGCCACAAGCCTTGTTGAGAAGTGTTGGAGTTAAGAGATCAATCCAGCTGACACCAAAAGCTCGGAAACTTTATGAAACAGCCTCTAAATTATCGAGCACTGTGAGATCTTTGCGAAAACGAGGATCCTAAGTACTAGACCATCTTACAAATCCCCTAAATAACACTGTGGCTACATTTGTTCGTAGCCAGATCCTGTTGGCTAATAAAGCACCCAAAGGAAGAAGGTACTCTCTGGACGATAAGGTTTTAGGTCTAGTTCTCCAAAAACAGAGTGGTAAAGCTTTCAAAACTTTTTCAAAGATGTTTTGCCTTCCATCCAGGAAAACTTCGATGGAACTTTTAAATAGAATTCCCATCAATGCTGTGATAAATGAAACCATTTTTAAAAATTTGAAAGCAAATGTCAGTTCACTTCGTCCGCGAGACCGATGTTGTACATTTATGTTTGATGAGATGGCTTTAGAAGCTCATATTGATCTAAATCGTACAACATCGCGGTTTGAAGGATTTGAGGATTTGGGGGAAACTTCGAGCGGCCTTATAGCAGACCATGTGCAATTGTTTATGATAAGAGGTATAACAAAAAGTTGGAAGCAGCCACTTGCATATGCTTTTTGTCAAAGTACTACTAAAACCATGGACTTAGTGAGGTTGCTAAAAACAGTTATCACTGAAGTACAGAAAACTGGCCTGCAAGTTGTTGCTACCGTTAGCGACCAAGGGTCCACAAATTCGGCAGCCATAAACTACCTAAATAGGCAGTTTGAACAAAAAAATAACTTTTCAAGTGACTTAAAAATTTTTGAAGTCAATGGACAACAAATTGTTCATGTTTTTGATTGCCCCCATCTTTTAAAGGGGATAAGAAATAACTTGGTCTTAAAAAATTTAATATGGCAAATTGATGGAACCAAATATGAGGCCAAGTGGGACCACATTATCAAGGCCTATAAATGACAACTCATCTGGAGACCTCAGGTCAATGCCAAGGCTGACAGATTGTCATATTTATCCCAAAAAAAATGAAAAAGATGAAAGTGTCCTACGCAACACAGGTATTGAGCCACTCGGTTGCTTCTTTCATCAGTTTACTTTCAAGGACTCAAATAATAGGTATTTTTTATATTTTCTAAATAGTGCATGATATTAATTTTAATGTATAATTTTAGGTGGAATAGAAGAACAACAAAAGGCAACAGATACAGCAACAATTTTAAAAATTTTTGACTCTTTGTTTGATAGTGTGAATGGAAGCACACTATATGAACAAAGAGGAAAAAAATTAAAATGTGCAGTTAGTGCTGGACCTGGGCACATTGAATTTTGGAGAGATGCCAGGAACCACCTTAAAAATATGTACTATGTTAAACCCAATAGTAGTGAGAGGATTATTCCCCCCTCAATTAAGAATTGGATATCAACCTTGGCTTCCCTGGAGGAGATACATAACATTTTAAGTAGAAAGAATATAACATTTTTCAGGCCCAGAATGATAAACCAAGATCCTGTCGAAATTTTTTTTAGCCAAGTTCGACAACATGCCGGTCGTAATTCTAATCCGACCATACATAATTTTAAGAATTATTTTAAGACCTTGCTAATAAACAACTTCACAGCAAGGCATTCACTATCAGCAAATTGTGAGGATGATGATAGTTCTCATATCATTTCTTCTGTAAGGCAATTTGTAACTATGGGTGTGCCTGAAGAGATGGATATGGACATTGAGGAATATGAAAAACTCATGTCTGGAATCTCTTTACCAACAGGTACTACAAAAAAATATATTGACCAAATTAGTATTGGCTATGTTAGTGGTTTTATTTAAAAAAAAATAAAACAACTAAAACATGTATAATTTGTAAATGTAACATTATCTGCCAAGAAAAAAATCAATGGCATGATCTATGTAGTGTAAAAGAGTATGCAAGCAATGTGCCAAATAAATTAAGATATTGTACTCCTAACTTTATAGATGCTATTTTAAAATTTTTAAAATATTTAAAGCACTTGTTAATACTTTATACAATCATTCTTTTTTTTATAAAATTTTGGAAAAAACATTACTAAATAATGTAAATTTTAATTTTACTTACTGTGAGCATTCAAATGATGTAAGAAAAATTGCCATCAAACACTTTGAATTTTTGTGTTGCCAAAATTGGGCTTTAGGTATTAATAGGGTACTGTCAGGAAAAGAGTCCAGAAGTAAAACTAATCATGTAGTGTACACACAGGCACATAAATATTACGAGAAAAGGCTAAAAAAAAAGCCATAGTTAATTTTTATCAATCCCGATTTTTTTGGATTTCATTATGTTATGTTATTGTTTAAACTTAATTTAAGTAGTTGTACACTGTCCCTTTAAAATGTTTTGACCATCCCTAACATGATTATGCATTTTTTGTGATCATTTTAAAACATATATTGGTGTTATACAAGATGGTTTGTTGCTTAAAAGGAAGTATTGATTGTTAATTTTTAACTTTGAAACTTTGAAGAAACAAGTCCTAATCGTGTATTCCTTTGCTACTTCATAGCCGAACAGGGTTTTTTCTCCAGCTCTTTTTCCCTGGTCGTATCTTCCTAAGAGCCACCCCTTGCTTGTTGCGTGGTGTTTCTAAAGTAAATTAAATTGGGGTAAACTTAACACTGTATTTTATTTTTTGTACACCTAATTCCTAAAGCAATGTATTTTATAAAACAAGTAAGTAAACACAACGTAGAGGTCCAAATTTGGGTAAGACAATCATTAACCAAAGTCACAAAATAGTTAATTTATTAATCGTCGAAAAAACCAAGCCACAAATTTTAAAAAAGATACAACCTAATTTAGATATTTATTTTAAATACATAATATATATGGGCAGATCCATTACTTTTCGACAAAAGTGTGCGGGGGTAAGTCACCGATTTGGCTGCTGATTTTTTTCTTGAAAGTAGGTCATATAAGGAGACAATCCTGAAAATTTGAGCTCGATATAGGTAATTCCGGCTGCAAGAAAATTTTTTGAAATATAAAAAAAGTCGATTTTTTAGTCATTTTCAAAAATTCGTATCTCAGCTCCTATTTAACTTAGAGATTTGATCAAGACGGCATTTTTCTCTGTTATCCCTCTATTTTCAAGAAAAATATATATATATGGGCAGATCCATTACTTTTCGACAAAAGTGTGCGGGGGTAAATCACCGATTTGGCTGCCGATTTTTTTCTCGAAAGTAGGTCATATAAGGAGACGATCCTGAAAATTTGAGCTCGATATAGGTAATTCCGGTTGCAAGAGAATTTTTTGAAATATAAAAAAGTCGATTTTTTAGTCATTTTCAAAAATTCGTATCTCAGCTCTTATTTAACTTAGAGATTTGATCAAGACGGCATTTTTCTCTGTTATCCCTTTATTTTCAAGAAAAAAATAGATTTTAAGTTTAAACTCAAATCCGGCTAAGCTGTACGCCTCCAAATAAAACACTGCTTAAGATAAATTTTGCCAATTTTTAAAGTGCTCTCAAATCTACAGTTTTTGAAGCAGTGGAATAAATGACAGATGATATTTTTCGTTAAGGTATACTCTGTTGGAATTTACCCATTTTTTACTTGATTGCTTCGATTTCTCTAATGTATGGCCACTAAAAGACAATTGATTTTTGAAAAATCAATGTTTTCAGATACCTACAACTTTTTTCTATCGATCCGAAATCCTTTGAAAATTTCAGGGATTATACTTTATTCTATTTTCAAACAAACCATCAAAACTTTTCTTTGGGTATTAAAGTGGTTTCCGAGCTATGAATTTTTAAAAATGTCAAATTTTCAATATAATATGACATTTTTGGTAGTTTTATTATCAGTTAAATGAATTATTAGTAATACTTTAGTCAATAATCTATTAGACCTTGTTCATTTTTCTCGAAAGTAAGTCATATAAGGAGACTATTCTGAAAATTTGAGCTCGATATGGGTAATTCCGGCTGCAAGAGAATTTTTTGAAATATAAAAAAGACGATTTTTTAGTCATTTTCAAAAATTCATATCTCAGCTCCTATTTAACTTAGAGATTTGATCAAGATGGTATTTTTCTCTGTTATCCCTTTATTTTCAAGAAAAAAATAGGTTTTAAGTTTAAACTCAAGCTGCAAGCCTCCAAATAAAACACTGCTTAAGATAATTTTTATCAATTTTTAAAGTGCTCTCAAATCTACAGTTTTTGAAGCAGTGGGATAAATGACAGATAATATTTTTCGTTAAGGTATACTCTGTTTGAATTTACCCATTTTTTACTTGATTGCTTCTATTTCTCTCTGTATGGCCACTCAAAAACAACTGATTTTTGAAAAATCGCTTTTTTCAGATACCTACAACTTTTTTCTATCGATCCGAAATCCTTTGATAATTTCAGGGATTATAATTTATTCTATCCCCAAACAACCCATCAAAACTTTTCCTTGGGTATTGAAGTGGTTTCCGAGCTATGAATTTTTAAAAATATCAAATTTTCAATATAATATGACATTTTTAGTAGTTTTATTATCAGTTAATTGAATTATTAGTAATACTTTAGTCAATAATCCATTAGACCTTGTTCATAATGTGCAGCCAGCCTATAATGATAATTAATTTAATGCTTACCGACAGATATCAATTAATTTATTACGAATTTAACTGATAATAAAACTACCAAAAATGTCATATTATATTAAAAATTTGACATTTTTAAAAATTCATAGCTCGGAAACCACTTCAATACCCAAGAAAAAGTTTTGATGGGTTGTTTGGGGATAGAATAAAGTATAATCCCTGAAATTATCAAAGGATTTCGGATCGATAGAAAAAAGTTGTAGGTATCTGAAAACAGCGATTTTTCAAAAATCAATTGTCTTTGAGTGGCCATACATTAGAGAAATCGAAGCAATCAAGTAAAAAATGGGTAAATTCCAACAGAGTATACCTTAACGAAAAATATCATCTGTCATTTATTCCACTGCTTCAAAAAATGTGGATTTGTGAGCACTTTAAAAATTGGCAAAATTTATCTTAAGCAGTGTTTTATTTGGAGGCTTACAGCTTAGCCGGATTTGAGTTTAAACTTAAAATCTATTTTTTTCTTGAAAATAGAGGGATAACAGAGAAAAATGCCGTCTTGATCAAATCTCTAAGTTAAATAAGAGCTGAGATACGAATTTTTGAAAATGACTAAAAAATCGACTTTTTTTATATTTCAAAAAATTCTCTTGCAACCGGAATTACCTATATCGAGCTCAAATTTTCAGGATCGTCTCCTTATATGACCTACTTTCGAGAAAAAAATCGGCAGCCAAATCGGTGATTTACCCCCGCACACTTTTGTCGAAAAGTAATGGATCTGCCCATATATATAAAATATTACATGTACAATATAAAGTAAAATTTAGTCTATACTTTATATTTTACAGGTATAAAAGATGATATATATACAATGTATGCAAAATAAATCCCTAAATCAATAGGTTTTTTCTTTTTTTAAATTTGTGTATTGGCTCTCTTGATTTCTCTCTTTCTGGGATAATAAATAGTAAATCATTTGGCGCCATCTATGAGTGACGTATGTTATAAAATTTTAAAAACCCTGTAATTTATTACGGTACTTTTCACGAGATGGCGCGCTCAACATTATTCTAAATAATAATACGGAAGTTTCCTATCTATAACCTTTATAATCTGTGATCTAGTTCTCGCGCATAATTTTCGCGTACAGACTGAATGAATATGTTAGTGCATGCCACAATTTCGAACATGAAAATTGTAAGAGAAGAGAGAAGAAAATTGAGGCAAAACAATGAAGAAATGCAGAATCCAACAGAATGGCAAGACGAATTTGTACAATTTGACTATTTCGGCATAAGATTTCTAGAAAGATGGGGCGAAAAAAATTTTTTGGATGATTGGTTCCACCAGCCATAGATAAAGGGATTCTGTTGGTTTCATAATATATAAAAAATTAAATTTTAAAGAGATTTAATGTTTTAATTAATCCTGTATAATATAAACCTTTTAAAATTAGTAACTTACAAGTTACTTTTAAATTATGATGTGTGTATTTAGTAGTAAAATTAATAAGGTTTTAAAGTGGGGAGGTAGAGTGGAGTTTAAGAAATCAAGAGAGGTATGGAAAAACATTGTATATACTCATGTATGTCTCAGTATCTTGGAATTATATGGAAAACTTTTTTATTATTAATTTTAGGAAAAAAAGTTTTTCTTTATAAAAAGTTCTGCATAGTGTAAAACTTAAAATGTAACCCACACACAGAAAAAAATATCGTACCTGATATTAATGTCCTACGTTCATTAAGTGCAAAATCATAGTATTAATGCAATCAAGTAATTATGATAATGCTTAAAAAATATGAGTTAATGTATTATTGGAGTGTCACAATGTCTGCCTGGTCATTATCCTAGTGCAAGAATTTTATTATTTTTTAGCCAAAATACATTAAGACAATGATATTTTACATTAATACGATGATTATTTACATTAAGGCTTAATAGAGTAATACTCTAAATGGTATAATTTAATAATCTAAAATTATTACATTAATGCCTATAATATACATCAACTTATGTACCCTTAGCAAAATATAATGCCCTAACATATTAAATAATACAACAAATCATAACTTTATCGCCAAATACGTTGAGCCAATGTCTAAATACATTAATATTAGGCCCTGTTGTTTCCCACCACCTAAAAGTGCAAGTAAGAAAACAATTTAACAACAGTTTAGTATTCCTGTTAATCCTGTTGCGACGATTGTTGTGCGTTTAGGTTTATTATTATATGAAATATAAATTAGAATGTAAGTAAGACAATGTTAAAAAGTTAAGGTTTATTTATGTTTCATAATTTTTTTCTAATAAATATAAGGATTTTAAATTACCAAGGGTTTTTATTATTTTTTTATATTAATCTTTAGTTTCATAATATTTACAAAAAGGACTAGAAATATGTAAAGTTCCAGTTCCAGTTTTGCGGTGGCCCGGACATAAACCCTGTAGAAAATGTTTGGAAATTTCTGTAAAGGGAACTGGCTAAACAGAACATCACCACATAAGTAATATTAATAGTAATAATTATTAATACATTTTTTTACATATTTCTAGCTCTTTTTGTTAACTGATCAACAAAAAAATTGATTTAATGTTAAAACTTAAGGTAAGTGTAATAATTTATATATATATATATATATATACATATACATATACAGGGTATCTCAAAAGTTAAGGACAGCAGAAAAGGGGTGGATAGAGGATGGGATTCTAATTCGAATGGTCTTTGCCGTTTTTCAATCGACTTAAAATTCCATCCTCTATCCATCCCTTTTCTGCTGTCCTTGACTTTTGAGATACCCCGTATATATATATATATATATATATATATATATATCGATATTTTTCCATCCCTTATTTCAGGCCTACTATTAATGCTTCTTTGCATTATGATAATGCCATCAGATCATTAATTAATGTATATTAGGTGATTGGGATAATGTTCTTTAATTGTTAATTGATAAAAATTTATTAATTGGTTGATGTTTACTGGGCATAGAATTAATGTACTAGGACATTAATCCATGTCAATGGTCATTAATATCAGTACTTTTATTTGAGATCTTCCTGATTAAAATCAATGTCCGCCAAGCATTAATATTACGTCCTTGTACATTGAGTAATACTTTAAAAGCATTGTGGTAATGATTTTGAGCATAGGAGCAAAATTAATGTAAAAAATCATTGCCTTAATGTTTTTTTTTATTAATATTACGTACGTTTTTCGTTGTGTGCAAATATTACATTTTTTTAGTCGTATCCCGTATTTATATGTCAAAAAATATGAATTTGGCTCAGGAGTAAAGTACCTTCATATTTGACAATATCGAAAATTGTTATAAGGAAAAGTTAATAAGAACTAAAAACTACGTTCAAATATGCAATTACATCCATTTAAATTTTAAAAAAATATTTTTTTCTTTTTTGTTTACAATATCAATGCAAATTTAACTGTAACATGTAATCTAGGATGCACTGATAAACAAATGATTTGTTGATAGCAACAAATGTTTGACAGTAAGTTTTGAAACGCGTTAGTTTATGACACAAAAATGGTTTTATTATTAACTAGTGAAGAAAAAATAGAAATTGTTTTAATTGTGGGAGAAAATTATAAAACACATAAAGAAGCAGCTATTATTTTTAATAATAGACATCCCAATAAAAATATTAATCAATCAACTGTTACCAAAATATTTAATAAATTTAAAAGTACTGGAAGTATTAAAAATACTTTTAATGTAAAACTCCAACAGCAAGTTTCCAATGAGAATACGCAGTTTGAAGTAATGCTGTCTGTGGTAACAAATCCAAAACTTTCATTGCGCAAAAGGAAGTCATTGATGCAACAAAACGTAAGTAAAGATACTGTAGCGAAAATTTTGAAACTAAATAAATACAAACCATTTAAACCAAAATTCGTTCACACATTAAAAGAAAGGGATTATAATAGGCACTTTGATTTTTGCTTTCTTATCCAAGGAGAGTTAGAAGAGGACCCTTTTTTTACGAGGCATATAATTTTTTCCGATGAAGCAACGTTTTCATCAAATGGAACTGTCTCGTCACAACATTGTCGCTGGTGGTCTAAATAAAATCCTAATTTTACAATAAAATCTCATGACCAATATTCATTTAAGACGAACGTGTGGTGTGGCATTTATAATATTTATATATATAAATATATATATTATAACAGATTAATAGGACCTTTTTTTTCGCCAAGATATGAATGCCGAACGTTATTTACAGTTTTTACAAACTCACATCAATGATTTTATAGACGAACTACCCTTGCAAGAACGTCAATGTATTTGGTTTCAACAAGACGGTGCCCCATGCCACAGTACATTGAATGTTAGGGAATATCTTGAACAAATGTTCCATGGAAAAGGTATGCACAAATATTCTAATACTTTTTGGCCTGCTAGATCCCCTGACTTAACCCCCCTTGATTACTTCTTATGGGGTTACTTGAAACAAAAAGTTCACCAGAAAGGGCCGTTTCTAGATGTTAATCATTTGGAAAGGATAATTTTAGAAACATGCTCCAAGAATAATAAGAAATGTATTACGTGAATTTTCTATGTCGAGGCGTTAGTGGAATGAGTGAAAATTAAATTTCCATTTATTTCTAGTATTAATATTATGTTAATTACACTTGTGTAAAAGTTGTAACTTAGTATTTGTATGTGTTTTTTATTTGCAAAATAAATTAATTAGTTACGTGTTAAAATTGCAAAATTTTTAGAAAACATTTAGAAACGAAAAGGTTTTCATGTTTTTAATCATAACAGATAAATACTCATTTAAAATAGAAAGATTAGTAAAAATTAACAAAACCTTATGTAAATGGATGAAATTGCATATTTGAACGTAGTTTTTAGTTCTAATTAACTTTTCTTTATAACAATTTTCGATATTGTCAAATATAAAAAATAACTTTTTTTCCTAAAATTAATAATAAAAAAGATACTGAGACGTACTGTATATATATATATATATATATATATATATATATATATATATATATATATATATATGTATATATATATAGGTTTACCGTTTTTGCAAAGTTTATTTTTGTTAAATCTTTCAACATATAACATTAAATATAAAAATGAATTCTTCAAAAAAACATAATCAAGTTAGAAGATGCAACCTTTGTCGTAGTAATTTAATTTTAAGAAGACTGGTTGTTTTAAAACGATTAATAGTGGAAAATTAAATAAATTTACAAAAGAAAATAACATTTTGAAAATTAATTCATGATTCATAGGATTCACCAACTATATTGCATAATGTTTTAATTGAATTTACCTTCATAATATTGTTAGCAGGTCGTGAATTTCATGAGTCAGGAAAGGCGAGCGCGAAGGGTTGCGTAACGCATTTACGGATGATTCAATTGTTTTTGAGAGGACCGCTTGCAATCGTTGGATATTCAGTATTTATCGAACGCTTGCGTTGAGAAGCTGTTTTTGTTGTTAAATTAATTTAAATCAAATAAAGTGTTTAAAAATCAAACTAAGTGTTATTATCAGAAGTGGAATTGTGCCTGTGCCATATGGAGCAGTTACTAACGGACGTGTTGACAAAATTGTCGAAATCCAAGCCAACGCCAGAGCAGGTGGATTTGCCGTTTTTTCATCATGAAACAGACAATGCCGAAAATTGGTGCCAACAGGTAGAAAGCATAAAAACGGAGTTTGAGTGGTCCGATCTACAATTGTTGGTACGTTTGAGAAGGTATTTATCGGATGAGGCAAAAAACTGGTATGAAAATTGGAATAATTTTAATCGTACATGGGCATCGTTTAAAAGGGATTTTGTAGAAGCTTTTCCTGCAAGACAAATTCTGGGACGTTTGTTTAACGAGGCTGCAGCGCTTACAAGTGATTCTTTTAATTCTTACACAACATACGTGCACCAGAAATTGTCTTTGCTAAAAAAATTGAGAGCATCATGGTCCGATAGCGACCTTATTGAGTTAATTGTGTATGGAATTACCGATGATAAAGTTCGAGAATCTGCTGGAATGCGTAATTTCGATAAAATTTCTGATTTAATTGCTTACGTAAGTACTGTACCAAAAGTATTGGTTGCTATGAAACCGCATGCGAGTACAAATGAACCGCCAGCCAAAAGGGCGCGCATTGAACGTTACCACAGCCAGGGAAAACCGTTCAAACAAGAAATTAAATGTTTCCAATGTAACCAAGTTGGCCATGTCAAGCGTCATTGTCCAAATAATACACGCACCGAAATACCAAAACCTGCTCCAACCAGAGATCAGAAAAAAGACCGTTTACAGTGCGATTTCTGCTTCAAACCCGGTCATGAGGAATCAAATTGTTTTACAAAGCGAGCTATTGAAAAACGGAAGAGCACGGTAAACAAGGCGTAGATCCAAATGGAGGCAGTTCCTTTACCAGTCAAACTCGACGGTGAAATTTACTTGGGTTTGGTCGATACTGACGCAGATATTTCGCTCATTTCCGACAAATATTTTGACAAATTCAAAACCAAAATGGAACCTCATTTTTTGTCCATTAAAGGAATTACTCGAGGAAGCTGCTTAATTTCGATGCACAAATTTGAAGCTGATGTTGAAATAACTGGACAAAGGACAAGGCTGACATTTGCAGTGGTGCCAGCTATTAATTTGGATTACGATGTGTTGATTGGATGCAATTTATTTTTTGATACCCGCCTAGCCGCAGTTACTGATTGTAAAGGAACGAAAATTATAAATCGACAGCTACGCAGGCAGCGGCAGCGGCAACAGTTGAGGATCATAATCCAGACTGGCGCTCTACAATCGTCGTTCCAGACGAAAATCGTGCGGCCGTTGTAAAAGTATTGGAAAATTTCTCGTCGTTTCTGTCAAAAGGTACTGTTGTGGTGGGGAGTGTAAATAATGCTTCCATGGAAATTCACTTGACGGATAACCACATCGTAAACAGACGACCATACCGATTGTCTTCATCCGAACCAGTACGAAGTAAAAGGAGATTTGCTATATCATGTTACCGCGAACCGAAACAAGGAACGAAAACTGCAATATTTTGTGCCAAGGCACAGTAGACTAGGATTAATGCGACTATTTCACGATGAACAGTGCCATGTGGGTTTGGACAAAACCATTGATTCGATTTTAAAACACTTCTGGTTCCCGAGACTAAGAAACTTTGCCAAAAGTTATATTCGACACTGCCTGATTTGTGCAATTAAGAAAACTCGTAGTGGACCGTTGCATGAAGATGTTCGTCAAGTGGAAAAGCCAATAATACCGATGCATACGATCCATTCGGATTGTTTAGGCCCGATGCCAGCGACGCAAGAGCAGTATAAATATGTGCTGGTTCTGGTCGATGCTTTTACAAAGTACTGCAATTTAATCCCTTTGAAAACCGTAAAAGCGGACGAGACAAAGAAAGCGATGTGCACTTTTATTAGTTGCTTTGGTACACCACAACTGATTGTTATGGATGGTGGCACTAACTTTCACAACCTGAGTCTGTGTGAGTTACTGGATGAGTGGAATATTCGTTACCATTACATTACTCCGGACATTCATCGTTCCAATGGCCAAGTGGAGCGCTACATGCGAACTATCATGAATTTGCTGAGGGTGGAGATGAATGTAAAGGATCAGTGGTCTGATTCCTTGTGGAAAATTCAACTGGTGTTGAACTCAACTATCCAAAAATCGACAAAATTGAGTCCTTTGCAAGGTTTGATTGGCATAAATGGAGCGACACCGTTGATACAAGCCGCTCTAAATGAGATATCCAGAGATATTACTCCAATTCGCTCGTTGGATATCGATCGGAAGCGAATGGCGGAGCGATTGAGACCCGATCCAGAGGACGAACAACAACAAGTCGAAAAAAGTACCAAGGGAGTGCAGTTCAAAGTTGGTGACTATGTTCTGTTACATAGAGCGAGTCAACTGCACATTAGCAAGACAAACTTTGAATGGTTGGGTCCGTATCTGATTGTTGGTATTACCGGTGAGGGTAGATATGAGCTGAAACGTATAGGACCAGGCCGGAAAGTAATTGTAAAGGCAGCTAGAGAGCAGCTACGTCTTTGGCCGACCGATTGGTCGATGGCAACTGAGCTGGATGACTTGCTAGACCTTTTTGAGGCTGAGAGTCAAGGTATGTTGAGCTTCATTGATATGTAAAGAACCAAGTGATCTATAAGATTGCGGTGGGTCGATATGTAAAGAACCAAGTGATCTATAAGATTGCGGTGGGTCGAATGGTAAAGAACCAAGTGATCTATAAGATTGCGGTGGGTCGATATGTAAAGAACCAAGTGATCTATAAGATTGCGGTGGGTGGATATGTAAAGAACCAAGTGATCTATAAGATTGCGGTGGGTCGATATGTAAAGAACCAAGTGATCTATAAGATTGCGGTGGGTTGACATGTGGTTGATTATTTGCATTTTGTTGTTGACAGATAATGAACAGGAAGAGGAAATTATCCCGGTCGACGATGACAGCACTGGAAGAGTGGGCCTTCGAGAACGAAAGCCGGGTCAGTCTGGCCGTGTTAGCAGGTCGTGAATTTCATGAGTCAGGAAAGGCGAGCGCGAAGGGTTGCGTAACGCATTTACGGATGATTCAATTGTTTTTGAGAGGACCGCTTGCAATCGTTGGATATTCAGTATTTATCGAACGCTTGCGTTGAGAAGCTGTTTTTGTTGTTAAATTAATTTAAATCAAATAAAGTGTTTAAAAATCAAACTAAGTGTTATTAATATTAACATGCTTTTTAGATTCATGCTGTGTATCTTTAGTTAAAACATTTTTATCAAAACCCAATAAATCTCTTATTAAATCATCCTTTTGAAAATCAATATTATGATCAGATTTAATGATACATTTTAAAGTATTTAAATTAGCTCTAATATGAAGGCTAGAAGCAAAATTTTCTGTTTTTTCTTATCATCTAATATTAAATTTAAATAATCATTAATATTATTAACATTCCAGTTGGTATTTCTATTTCTTCATTACCAATTTAAAATTTAATATTTCCTTTAGATATGTTTGGTATAGCGTTATAAACTTCTAAGCTTAGCAAACCTATAACAAAATCATTTTTATATTCTCTTAAATTAATAGGTGAATTAAAATCCGCACTAACTTCGACCAAAAAAAAATGCGCATGCGCAATACAAGGCAATGAAACAAAAACGAAATGAAAAAAAAAATTATTCAGTAAAGGCATTACTTGCAGTAGCACCATATACAGTATATGTAAATCTATTATCGTTAAATTTTTCTTCATCCAAAGTTGTGAAATCAAATGTAACATGCATATTTTCAATAGCTGTTAATCTATCTTGAGCTTTATTAATACCTATTGCACGAAGACATCTTGAATGAGAAGTCCAAACGTTTGAGTTCATAATTTTATTGGGTAAAGCATTTGTCATGTATGTTTTTATATTTTTTAATACCATTATTATCATATTGATCTATATTAATATTAGCAAAGCCCCATTGCAAAGGACGAGGTATATATGGATCAACTGGGATTATTTCAATAGTTATTTCTAACGTTAAAAATCCACAAAAAATATTGTTTAATAAATTATTTTTAGCCATTTTACTGTATTTATCATCATAAACATAATTATATTGATTTCTTATTGCTAATTCTTGACTGGCTCTTTCTTGTGGAAAATTAGCGTCACTATCAATAGCAGAATAATTTTGCGGACCTCTTAAAGCATGAAATACTCGGGTATTTAAAAAAGACTCATAATCAGTTGCTATTGTTTTTGTATTTGGTATTCCCATTCGTACGTCATAATTATAAATAGGTTCTCCAAAATTTAAAGTATTACAATCTATTATATTAAATTCTGAATTACATTTTATTGTGTGTTCTAACAAATTTTCACCTGGATATAATAATTTAACATTTTTATTGTCTTGCAAAAGATCAGGATAATACGTTTTTTTTAATTTCATATAATGGCAATGGCTGCATCATATTATTTTCTGAAACATTGGTTGGTTTTGCAGGAGTGTTAGTGGCAGCACCAGCTAAAGTAAATACAACATCTTTTTCTTCTGCAACGGTTTTTTTTGTGTTAGAGGAACAGGAATAAGGTATTCTATATCATTAACAGGTAATATTAATTGCTCATTTTTATTGAAACCTGAGCCATCATAGGACCTATAAAAATTAAAAGCTGTATCTTTATCAGAAAATATATTAGCTATTCGTATATGCTGAGTTTCATGAATTTCAGGACATATTGAATATATAGTATTATTGAAGCTCAATTGATCTTGTTTTCCTGTAGTTCCAGATTGCACACTAATAGGTGTTGTATTATGAACTTTGATAGAGATTCTACTTGGTTTGAATGTTTTCGAATTGTGCAATAAAGATATATATTCATTAACATTAAGAAAACAACAATAATTATTATAAGGTAAGGAATGATAGTTATGTAGTTTAGCAGAAATTGTGGCAATTCGAATATTTCCATTAGCTTTCGTGTTGGTTGGTGTTCTAATTGAAATATCTTTGAAACTGTTTGCTGCAGTTTCTCCATCTACAAGTTTAACAGGATTATTTTCCCAATAAACTAGGCGGGATTTGGAAAAGGTAACATTCATAGTAGAGTAAAGTATAGTATAGTTTGTTGAATGTATATTTAAGGATATTATAAGGTATAATTAATGATTTTTGGATAATCTTCGTGTTCCAAGAGGAAGTAGTCAAAATCAGATAATTGTAATTTCTTTAAAGCAGCAAGAATATTGTCTTGATCTTTTGCAAACTCACTAGGAACTAAATGTTTATGTAATTTAAGTGTGTATACAATTAAGGTTAAAAAGTTTTCTTCGGTTAAGTCATGATACCTCGTACACGCGGTAATTGTGCTATTGATTTCCGAATCGAATAAGTCGGACGATGCGTGAAGAATCTGATTGCCACTACTTTCTTGGTCTGTGACAATGTAATTACAATAATGTTCAGGATAAGTACAAATATAATCTAATGATAATTTTACATTAAAATTTAAATGTAATGAACGTGTAGAAATTGAAGTTTGTTCTGAAGATACGTGAAATGTTACATCTCTATTAGTTGTTACAATTATAGGAACTCGTTTACCCAGTGCTTGAGAAGCTTTATTTTTTACAGCTATTTCTCCAATTTCATCACCTTCAAAAATGTTTTTAACAGTATCTATATTACTACTATCAACATAAGGCTCATCCCATAGACCACAACCTGAATTGATTAAATTTGCAAATGTAAATAGTCCGTCAGGAACTATTCTTGTATTAATTGGAAATTGTTTCCATAAAAGTTTAGCAAAAGTAGATTTGCCGCAGTCTGGTGGACCTTGTAAAATAATAGTGTTTCTTTTGGTATTTCCAGTTAACCATATAAATAAATCTTTAATAACAATAATAATAATAAGTTTTATTCAGTGTAATAAAAATTACATGAAAAGTCAGGTACAAAGGTAAGTAAACAATAATAATATTAGAGGAACTGGTCCGAATATGGGCCCCCATTTTTTTTTTTATAATTTGGTTATTCTTTTTTTATATGATGTGGAAAGATGTTTACATACTATGTAGGGACGTAGTAATAAAACGACAATATTAATTTCTTTTAAAAATAACACATTTATTTATGGCTAAACAAAGAATGAAATGGTGCACATTTTTGACTTTGGGCTAGAGGGTATGGAATATGGGCCCTATTAAAAAGTTATATAGTTCATTAGGATAAACACACAAACACAAAATAAACAAACGTCACAAAATAAAAAAAACATATCTCACAAAACTATCGGCAAAAATCC